TCCACTATAATATGGAAATGTACACTGCTTTCCAGCCATGCGTGCAAACTTGCAAAGAGATATGAGCAAAATCGGACTGAATCTTCCGCTAGAAAATGGAAAGAGACACTGCTTTCCAGCCATGCTCTCAAAAGAGACAGAGAGAGGCTATTCCATCGATAGAGAGAGAGACTCAGAGAGAGGGAGGGAGAACAGTTAAGTCTCCAACTTCGCCGCTGGCCTAACGCTACTTCTATCGATAGGATGAGTAAATTGAATGGATCTTCTGCTAGAACACGGAAACGTACGCTGCCACACTTGTAGATTCAGTCCCCAGACCTCGTTCAGAAAACCGCGCCAACAGCCATTCACACAGGGCTCGCACATCCCTCCTCCATGCCGCCTTCATCTCTCGTGCTACCTCCCTCCTTTTATTTCTTACCGTGTCCTCTCTATCTCTCATTGTCATTTCTTGCTCTTTCTACTCCATCTCTTTCCACATTTTCTTCTCTCTGGAATAGTCTCTTCTATATCTCCTCCGTCTCTTCTCCATCTGTTCTCCATTTCTTCTCTATTTCTCGTCCCTCTTTGTCTCGATGTATCCTCCATATCTCCTCCATCTCAAATGATTGTCAAATCGTTTTATCTCCTTTCGATTAGCCCCCGTCTTCCATCTCTCCTTCATATTTCCTCCTTTCCACCTTCACCATCATCTCTTCTCCACACCTTTACCTTTCTTTTCGAGCTCTCCTCCATATCTCTTGTATCTCTGGTCGATCTTCCCTGAAACAGCTAAACGCCACCCCCCTCTCCCACCCCCCAAAAAAAAGAACAAAAACTCCAAAAATTGTAATCTCATCTTGGTTATTTCGAGTTTCCGCTAACCTTCCAGATAACCAGCCCTCTTTCTCCTTCATCACCGCCTATCATCTTCCTCCCCCCCCTGGCCCCTCACATTCCCTCTCTTCATTGTCACCTTCATCATACCTGACGAAGGACAAAGGGAAAATGAAGAAAACAGCGGAAGTCAAAAAAATAAAAATAAAAATGGTACTCCAAAAATCGTATGCATCACTTGGAAGAAGAGCAGCAAGCGGGAAACTGCACATCTGTGTTGCCACTTGTACGCACCCTTGTACGAGTACAGTGGATTCGTACTCCTGTACTCGTCCGCTACTTGTACGCTAGGGGCCCCGGACAACTTTTTTTTTTTTTAATTTGATTTTGTTTTTATTTTGTTTTCTCAAAATCTAATAGGAATCTGCAGATGATGCTCAGCCTAATGTTGCTTGTTTTGTGTTGCTGCATCACATATTTGTTTTTCGGATTCTTTTCTTCTTTTTTTTGTCATACGGGGGCGTTCTGTACGGAAAGGCCCCGTACATGTACATTATGCAACGTAGCCGCACATACTGGTCTGCCATCGCGATGTCTCTGGTAGATCTCCCCTGAAACAGCTGAAAGCACCCTCCCCCCCAAAACAAATAAATAAATAAAAAACTCCAAAAATCATTATCTCATCTTCGTTATTTTGAACCTCCGCTAACGTTCCACATAACCTGCCTTCTTTCTCCCCCATCACCGCCTATCATCTTCCACCGATCTCATCTTCCCTGCCGTCGATCTCTCGAACGCTACTCTCCACCAGTTTCGTTTACACTCTTTGACACAACGGATGGATAGCAAACCTTCTCTCTCTCTCTCTCTCTCTCTCTCTCTCTCTCTCTCTCTCTCTCTCTCCGCTGATCTCTGGAACGCTGCTCTCGACCAGCGTCGTGCACTGTTCTGTACATCAACACGCATGACAATGCATGAAGTCTCCATGCAGACCAGGTTCGGGATAGAGAACCGGGTCTGGCACACTTCCACAAACCTACTCACGATGAATTATCCGCGGGAACATCAACACATACTCGGGACGCGAAGAAAAGGAGGAAAAACACAAAAAACTCAAACGGACACACAGGCTGTAGTCGGGCACATCGCGAAACTTCGCTCTCTCCCGACTTTTCGATGGGCCCGACCCGAGGCCCTGCGTCTTCCCGGTTCCTAGCAGGAAATTCACTTTCATTTTGCACATTTGGTGAGTTCTGGAGCCGGCCTGGCGAGATACGCACGCTACACAACCGACCGAGCTTCTACGCACTTGTAGTCGAACGCGCACGCTCCAACGCCACAACTCTTCTTTTCATTAGGCCCGCCTCTTGTCCCGGCTGTTTCCCAACACTGGAAGGCGGGTTTCGCGTGGGAATGTCACGCGAGACCCGCTATTCGCTTAAAGAGAGTAATCATAAAATCAGTGCAACTCCTCAAAGCGAAGTTGAGTTTCCAAGTGTGACATCTCTAATTAGTAAAGTGTGATCTCCTTCCCCATCAAGCACAGAGGGTGCACCACTCTTTCACATTCTGCTGCCAAACTGTGATGCGCTCGCTAACACCTTTTGAGAGTGATGATCCTTCAACTTGCCCCCTCTTCTTACCAGGACAAAAAGTGCAAACCAGTACAATACCCTCTCCTTCCCTGTCAATCAGCGAGCGTACCACTCTTCTACCTTTTTCTGCCAAACTGTCATCAGCCCTCACCACACCTTTCGAGAGTAGCGCCTCTGACCAATTGCTGCATACACACAATACACCTTTTCTTTCTCAGAGGCACCTTTTGCATTGAACGCCTTCTGATTCAATATAAAATTAAATACTATCAATAGCTATAGCAGTCTTACCTGTTTCTCTATGTCCAATGGTAATTTCTTGTTGTCCACGACCTATTCGAACAAGGCTATCCACTGTTTGACCCCCTTTGCACCTACCTCCTCTCGGCACCAGAACAGAAGCTTGTCTGCCACATCACATGCACTTTATTTAATTTGACAAGGAATGCTCGCTTTCAGGAAGTTGCCGTTAAGCGCAATCATAAAAAAAAACATTGACGCCAGTCGTACATAATTATGATTTTTTTTTTGTCGACAACCAGCGAAGCTGTTTTTATTTGAGTAATTACACCTATTCTGGTTTATAAATTCCCGAGGGACAGGGACAGATTGATTACCCTCCTCTTGCCCCAGCTCTTCTGCCTGTCCTCTATACCCTCTTCCACTCACCAGCTTAAATTCAGGCACCCACAAGAATCAATTTCAAGCACAGAGTGCACTGTTGGCCCGATTCGAAGCCCATTCTCAGGACGTACTAACACTACCACTCTTCTCAATGTATATGACTGTAATTACAGGCGGACCTGGATGTATCTGGCCAAACTTCCGTCCAGAACTAAGTAAAAAAAGGTCCTGGTGTGAGTATGCCCTCAGGCGCAAACCGAATCGGCCTTGTCATTGTAGTCATTGAGAAAAGCATGAAAATTAAACACGACACTTGATTATGCTGGCGCATCATCTTGAGCTCCATTCATATGCACCATTGGCCATTCAATTCACGTATCCTCAAAATGAATTCAAATTTCAAAAGGTGCACCAACCAGGTAGGTAAGGGGAAAAATTACCAGGAAAATTTACCAGGAAAAGTTACCAGGGAAAATTACCAGGAAAAGTTACCAGAGAAAAATTCCAGGAAAAATTACCAGGAAAAATTACCAGGAAAGATTACCAGGGAAAAATTACCAGGAAAAATTACCAGGGCTAACCAAATGTGATCGTCTCCACATGCGCACTCAACCATTCCGTCGATCATTTGTCACACAAGTCGAACGAATATTTTTCCAACACCAAATCCATCATAAAAAATGATTCGGACACTCTTTTCATAAAGTGGCATTGACCACATTCAGAGCATACAGCAGCATCTCTTCAATGGATTTTTCTGGATGCCACTGCAGTCAGATACATCTAGATCAGGCCATAATCGCGGTCAGACACATCCAGCACAGCAGATAATTGCAGTCAGAATCTGTCAGATACATCCGCCACAGGCCACAATTGCGGTCAAATACGTCCAGGGGAGGCTGCCGTCAGACACGTCCAGCACAGGGGATAATTGCAGTCAGATACGTCCACCACAGGTGATAATTGCAATCAAGTACGTCCAGGGAGAGCTGTATTTCCGCTCAGATACATTCATGGAGCTCTTCACACAGGTATGCTCTTAGACCGTTGGTTGTTCAAACATAATACAATTCTCTAACATTTGTATTTGACCGCAATTGTGGCCAAATACATTTCAGTGAACGCTCACACATTTATTTGGCCAACCGGAGCCTTCGCTGCATGCATCTCTGCCTGCCAGCCCTTCCTCGCGGTCAGAGCACATCCTGCTCAAGCCTTAATTATAGTCAGATACATCCATTCCGCCAACCAACCAGAAGCCCTCCCCATCACTTCATTCCGGGCATGACAAGGCGGGCATCATGTCTTGTGCAAGTCCGTCAAACGCATCACCCAAATACGCAAGCTGCAAGCAAGCCCAGATCCAGGGGAAATTAAAAAAAAAAAGGAGGGGGAAAAAAAAAACAGTATCACATCATCACAGGTACCTGAGGTTCGCAAAAAAATATAAAGTCGAGGCTTCACTGACAAAGGAAGGGCGAAAAGAAGTTCACAACTTCACACCTACTGCACTAAAACTCTGTACTATGCCCAAAAATATAGAATAGGGCCAATAGGCACATCGTGCTTGTTCCAGGCACAGGCCTGCTGATATCAGCACAGAGCTAGTGTGTCCCTGAGATCAAAGAACACAGGGCATGCAGAGAGGTCCTGCACCCACTGCTGTGTCTTCTGAGATGACCAAAGCTGACTTTTTGGCAGGCAAATCCTGCGCGTGCGAGCGAGCGAGCGAGAGCGCGCGCACGAGAGAGAGAGAGAGAGAGAGAGAGAGAGAGAGAGAGAGAGAGAGAGAGAGAGAGAGAGAGAGAGAGAGAGAGAGAGAGAGAGANAGAGAGAGAGAGAGAGAGAGAGAGAGAGAGAGAGAGAGAGAGAGAGAGAGAGAGAGAGAGAGAGAGAGAGAGAGAAACATAATTGCATGCCAATGGTGGCGGCAAAAGCTCATCTCTGACATCACTCTCTTGTAAATAAATGGTTGGAATAAAGTTAAATAAATGCGCCAAGCGTCACAAAGAACTGTAACAGTTCATACATACTCTTCCTCCACAGTGGAATAAATCATTTCCCACTTCCGTCCATTGATTACTTTCTCTGCGTCGTTGACGCTAAGCTTCTCCCCTGTTTCCAGCAAAATGATTGATGGACACCAGACACAAAGTTTGACCAACAATAATATGGCAATCACCACCGCATCCGAAACAACAACGACAACAACAACAACAATAACGGCGACGACAACGACAACAACAACAACAATTTAGATCGCACCGACTCCCTCGTCATGGTAGCGATTGCATAACGTCACTGGCCACGTTCTCGGACACTAAAATAACACCCTCTTGAGGCTACACTATCTTCTTCCTTCCTTCCTCCCTCCATCCCTCCCTTGCCTGGAAACACAAAACTTACCGCTGGTGCCAATAGATCATATCATGATCCCTGCTTGATCTTCCATCGACTGCCATCGCCGCGCCCGCCCCTTAGCAGCGGCCACCTCCCTCCTCATTCTTTCATCAATCACCGTGCTTGTCTGACAAACACACATCGACCGACGGACCTACCAATAGGGTTACCTAGATGCGTTCTTGTCGACGATTGTCTACGTCTCTGGTTTTCTATTCACATTCCTGGATATGTATATAGCAAACTACCCGGTGAACCGTAGGCAGAGAGGGAGAAGAGGACAAGAAACAAGGGGGTTACGACAGACTGTTCCGTTGGAGTTTATATATATATATATATATATATATATATCGTCAAATAGAAATATATATATATATGAGGGAGACGGCGCACAACCAAGCGGAGTGAGCGAGTAACAGAGCCACACAGCTCAAACTAGGGAACGCACAGATGCGTATGAGGAAAGCGCACATGCTGGAGACAATAGAGGTCTTTCCACGAAGCAACACAACTGCTTCATTTCTGGCGACTCCCCATCACAGCACTGCCCCACTTTCTCTCAAGAGGCATCTTCAACAGGGGGTCCGAGATTCTAGGAATGGGTAAAGTGTAGGTGAGTGCGGTTAAGTAACAGAGTACCACTAACTTACTTGCCCTGGTACCGACTTGGCAAGCAGGTTAAGTACTGGGCACCATAGTCTTGCTTAGTATGCAGTTAGCAAGTAACTATGTACTAAGTATGTGATACACAGGTAACTCTGCGGGATCCGGACGATGCGAGAAGGAAGGAAGCAATAAATAGATACTTAGTAGAGACCTGCAGTTGAGACAAAGGTCAACATGTTGAGCTGCAAGCTCCTCTTCCTAGAACTCCTGCTCAAAGAATTATAGAAAGGGCCCTTCTTCACTTTGTGAAGGACAGAGGCGTCAGGGTTCAACCGTGGAATTCGGCTGACCTCCTCGGCTGGCCTACTGAAAATGTTTTTTTTGGTGAGCAGCTTTGTCCTCTCATCCTCCATGACTGCCTTCATTGCCCTCTCGACAGCGGAAACCAGTTCTTCTCCCTCCCCTTCTTTGTCTTCCCTCGCACAACTTTCCGCACCAGTGCCGCTTCGAACAATGGCAGCGCCCGTTGGAGGTGGTGGACCTCTCTGTCTCTCGATGCCAGACAACTGACCCGTTTTCACCAGCACGCCGCTGCCAATTCTACTACGACCCAGATCCTCTTTTGCATTATCCTCGCTGTCACCCTGCAGCTCTGCTCGATTTGAGCGACTCGGACTCGAATCCGCTCCTGCGGTCCATGCTTCGCGTCGGACAGCACCCCTCCTCAATCTTCTCTTCCCTGCTTCAACTCCCTCTTTCCCACCCGGAACTGATTGGTGTCGTGACGGCACCACCACCTCCTCCAGAACCCCAACCTCCTCCACATCCTCCGCATTCTCTACCCCCAAACTGTCCATTCTCATGTCGTTCCTCAGGGCCTCAAGGCGACCTTGTCTATCCCTTCTCCCAGACAGCCAAGGACCCTCTTCGTCTGGCATGTTCGAATCGCTTGTCCAGCCACCCTCTCTATCCCCTTCATCCCCTGCTACTCCATCAATCGACTCAGGTTCCCAGTCAGAGTTCGAATCTCCCGGCTCTCCACGCTGGAGACGATCCAACTCCTGCTCCAACAGATTCTTTGCATCATTGAGCGCTTCCACATCCCCGTCCCTTACCGGCTGCCTCATCATCATCATCCCCCCCCCTACACTTCGCTGATGCTTTGAGCTATTGCTCCCCTTCAACGACCGATCCGCCTGTCGGCCTTGGCAGGCCGCCATCTCCACATTTGAAGCAGACAAGCTCGTAGGGAGCCTGTCGCTGACTCCCTCTTTGTCAGCGGAAAGAAGACTTCCGGCCATTGCCTCGTAACTGAGGATTCTGTTCCTTACCTTCCTAGCATCAAACTGCTTCATCAGCGGAGGAAGCGACGGCGGCTTGATCCCAGGCGGTGGCTGCTGCTGGTCATCCTTGAGCCTTGGCTGCCGCCTGACCTTAAAATCCGGCTCCAGATGGCTGTTCACCTTTGTCTGGACTTTGGACCAGTCGAGCTTCTGCGGTTTCATCGCCTTCGATTTCCGCTTCAAAAAGGGTTTCGTCGGGACCGACAACCCCTTACCATTTGCATCCGCTTCCCTGCTCTTCTCCTCGCTAACTGCTGCCCCAGCAGTAGCATTGCTGCTGTCACTACCCGCTCGCACTCTTGAAGAATTCCTACCAGCTCCTCCTTTCTCGTCCCTCTCCGCATTCCTTGACTCGGCTGCAGTGGATGTGTTCCCTACCAAGCTGTCGTTTTCAGACACCTCCCACAACCCACTCTCTTCCTCATTCAGCAAATGTTCCTCGTCCTCAGCTTGCAGGTCCGCATTCGACGGTCCGCTCGCACTAGCACTCACTGATAAATCTCCTGCCTGTGTCGATTGCTCATCAACCTCCTCCCCATAAACCTCTACATTGCTGTTGCGCTCCAGTGGTTGACTTCTGCCTTCATCGCCAGATGAGACAAGTTCCCTCCTCCCTAGGACAGTTCTTCTCCTCCTCCTCTCAAGCACCTCCCTGACTACCTGTTTCAGTCCCTTACTACCGATCATCCCCTGCCGTCTCTCCTCTGAATCTTTGCCTGCAAGTTTCAAAATCTCTAACAGCCTCGCATCCTCCGATTTGCTTCCGGCCTCTTCTGCAACATCTTTCCTCTTTGCCGTTCCGGTTCCCACCAGCGGGCTTCCCAGTTTCCACGCCCCACTCGACCCGGAGCCACTTAATGATGGCGCAACCAAATTGTCCGGAGAAAGGAGCCTTGGAATCACAGGTGAAGAAGGAGTAGCTTGGACCATTGTCATCGCCTCTTGGTCTGAGCACGACAACGCAGTCTGGAGTTGATTGCTTTTGTGCCTTAGGAGCGCAACAAGTCTTTTCATCAACTCCGCATCCACTTCTGGTGTTCCCCCGTCGGCCTCTTCTGCCAACTGCTCCAGAAGCGACCTGGTATCGCGAATCTCCATCACTATTGATTGCAGGCGCTTGGACGCAAGTCGCCGACGAATGCGTGCTCCCTCTGTAACAGCTTGAATCCTATCACAGAGTTGAGCAAACCTCTCCAAGCTTGGGGGAATCCTTCCTTTTCTCATATTCCTGACCACAATGAGATGATGCAGGGCCTTCAGTTGCTTCGGCCGTGACCGACAGGAAGATGCCGGCTGCTCCTCGAGCGAATGGAACGCACGCCACGCCCTTTGAATGGCTATTGCAGAATTTCTCAAGGCGGAAAACTGCCTCCGGATTTGACCTCCACGCCACAGTGACTGGACAAGAACTGCCTTGCGCCGAAGTGTCAAAAAGTGAGCCCGATCACGCCAAGTGCAAAGGATTGCAAGATGGCGTTTTGCTATTTCCCTGGCCCTCTCCTCCTCGAGTTTGCGCCTTTCCTCCTCTTCCCTTATTGTCTTCCTTTCCCAGTACGCCCTCCAAGCCTGCTGAACCAATTTCGCAGAGCGTTGCCGCCTGCGTGCCTGCAGCCTCTTCATGGCCGCTTCTTCTTTAATTCGTTTCAATTCCGCAATCCTTTTCTCCTCTGCAGCCTTCTGTCTTCGGCTCGCCATTTCCTGTGCCTTTCTTCGGTATCGAGCAGCCTCGCTCTCCTCATTATGAGAATCCTTCCCATGGGCCAAGTTCCCTGTGCCATGCGTGTCACCCTCAGGCGTGTCGCGTCGACTTCCCACTGCAGGACTTCGTTCACGCTGCATTTCTGGTAGACTACAGGAACCTGCTGCTCTCGACCCTCCCGGAAACTTGTCCCTACCTAACTCCACCATCATGCCAGTACTCAAATCACCTTTCAGGCTCCACCTCTCCCTTTCTCCAGCTTGGTTACCATCCTTTACCACCCCTCCTTTTCCTGGCTTTCCACCTGCTGGACCAGATACCAGGGAGAACGGAAGCCTGGAGAGGTGGTTGTTTGTAAAGGCATCCACCACATTATCAATGCCTGGTCCCACAAGAGGCCCCATGATGGAGTTCAGAGACCCTTCCTCCATTGCCGTCCTCAGCAAGGCCAGTGTCGGTGTCGACTCAGCACCTCTCTTTACGCCATACTGGAGGCCAGCTCCGCCGCTCCACCCCCCCACCTCTATGTTTGCTCCAGGAATATTCCACCTGTCCACCCGCGGCAGATTCTCCACCTCCACATTCGTCTTACCCACAAGTCCCCCCACTGCACCAGGCTCTACGGCAAGTGCTCGAGCCTGTTCATCAGCGTGATCTTGCTTAGGCTTGACCGTACCATGGACCAGCCGAGGGGACGCCATCGCATTTGGCACTGCTGCGTGATACGCTGGTTCAGTTGGCGATGCAGCTGAGTGGAAAGAAGAAGTCTGCACAGGGTCAGAACTGCACTGCACAGGGTCAGAACTGCACTCTCCCTCACAACTTACCACCCGCGTAGCGGGCTGGCCAACTGGACCAGCCGTTGTTCCAAGGTCCACTTCCAGCTCTTGGGTCTGCAAAGGCCTTCTGTCCAATGAAACAGCAGTAGGCACGGAACTTTCAGGGAAGGTAATCGGGTCGGAGCTGGGAGGCCCCACAGGGTCCATCGTGCAAATGCCCCGCCCCCCACTCGGCTCTAGCATATCGCCACTCAGTGAATCTGGAGCATTGACAACAAGTGACTCAGAGACACTCCTGTGTCTTGCACCATCCATCCTCTGCTCCTGCAACTCTGCAGTGGCCGTAACTTCTCCCTCAGAAGAGGGACCTTCACAGGAAGCGGAGCTTTCCTCCTTGACTTTGTCGCTCGCTGGTTCATCAGCCTCTGCGGCTGAGCATTCCGATTTGATACGTTGCAGCAGCAACGATGCTGCCTGGTCTGAAGCACACCCTGGTTCAGCTCGTTTCCCATCCAGTGACAGCATGCTATTCCAGCTGCTACTAGAGACGCTTGTCCCTCTCTCGGGTTCCGGCGCTCTCAATGGTGGCTGCATTGATGTAGAATAGGTCTGGTACAATGTCATCCCTTTCGAGATATCATTTGGCAGTAGAGAAGGGGAACTTCCATTCCTTTCATCATCGCCAATCTCAGTGCTGGGTGAATCGGAACCAATACCGTTCCTTCTGCTGGGGGAATCGGAACCACTACCATTCCTTCCGCTGGGTGAGTCGGAACCACTCCCGTTCCTTTCATCATCTCTGACCTCCATTCCTTGCACAAATGGGGTGCTCTTGCCTTCAAGTGTCTTACCATCACCACGAACATCATCCGTGCAAGATGGTATCCTGAAGACACTATCGTCAGCAGTCAGAGCCACCGATGCATGAACGGATGCAGATTGAGCCAGCGGCTGTGGTCCTTTGTTTTCTGAGCTGTCCGTGGGGGATCCACCCAGACATTGTGTAAACGTGGTACGCATATCTTCCTGAGTGGCTGACGTATCAACAGGTACTTGGCCCGATGGCATTTGCCTGCTTGCCTCAGACTTGGCAGCAGCATCGGCCATTTTTAAACTTGATCGTTCTTTCCCTTTTTTAAGACGCATTTGCCAGACTAGCTCCCTCTCTTCCTCTGTCAGCAACTCTAGCGACAGCCGCACACTGGAGTTCATAGCAGGCGGCAGAACAGAGGCCCCGCCCAAGAGAAGATGCTGCCACACTCCCACTTCTCCTCTCCCCCCATCAGGCCTCCTACCGAGGCTCTCCATACTGCTCCCCATTGACAACGGTGAGATAGGTGGAGTGACATGGTGCGGCGTCACAGAATGATAGGGAGGAGGAGCCCCCACTCCTCCTGCCGCCATGTCAGAAACAGCAGGCGAGTGATAGAAGTTGTTGTAGGGATAGAAAGGAAAGAACGGCATTGGTTGCGGGACGGGAGGTCTGTACGCACCCCCTTGAACAGCAGGCTCGTGGACCCCAGGATTTGGGAGGACGGGAAATGGCTGCTGCATCCCATATCCGCTAGCAGCCGGCATTTGTGGTGTCGGTGGTCCTCCCGACATTCCATACGCCATTGACGGGTAACCAGCTAAGGGAGCACCTGGGTAACCCATCGGATACTGGTAATAGGGGTAGAATCCGTACGGCGCTACTGGAGGAACATGAGGTAGGTACAGAGGGTGATGGGGGTGATGATGTGGAAGAAGACCCGGATGAAGCTCATGACTCTCCCCAGGAGAAGGTGGATGACTCTTTCCTGGAGGCATTGTCATAGACCCGGGCGACGGGAAAGCTGACACCTCCGATGCCGCATTAGGAATGGCCATCCTTGGAGGTGAACTGGCAAGACTTGCCATGGCGGGAGCGCAAGCATACTGGACAAATGATTGTTTTCCCGCACCAATGCTTGCGGGAAGCGATGGTGAGCTGCAAGCACGTGGTGGAGTGGAGAATGACTCTACTGATGACATTGCAGAATTGGAACCACCATCCACACTCACAGGCATTGTTTTCCCCAGAGAGGCAGCAACGCTCTCTTCCCTGCTGCCTCCATCTTCTCCCCAGGGCCCTCTCAACGCCCTCATCATCCCCATCTCCTCCCTCTCTATTCTGCGATCCGCGGAGTTCGAGAGCAGGTGCTTTTGCTGTGGTTCAACTGATCTCCCTAGCAGAATCTCTCTCTCGTTCCGAGCTCCTAGGCGGCTCTCCCCAGCTATCCTCTCCCCCGCCACCTGCACCAAGACTTGGCTCCCTGTCGATTCCTCCATTCCAAGACCTGCCGCGAGAGGTCTCATCGATTCCCTCGCAGGAGAGTGTCCAGGGTGTGAAAATAGCGCCCGTACAGCACTCCGTCTCTCCATTGCCCTTGCGTCAGACGGGCTTTCAACACCCTCTGCCATCCACATTGGACCCTGTGACATTTCATTCCAATTCCTGTTCCTGTTTTCATTCTCTCTTTTGCTCTCGAAAGGCGTGCAACCTGTCAGATTCCACAAATGCCAAAAACAAAACCATTACCCACTGACTTCCACGGAAAATGTATGTTCTTTATTAAAGTTTATTTTATTTTAAAAGAAAGAAAAGCTCCTCCTACTCTGCGGAGCAGCAGTCCGGTTCCTATTCCACCGGCAAGTCAACATAGAATACAGTTCTGTCCCACGCTTACCCACATTACGCCCACGGAGAAAATGTCATATTTGTGGCAATGACAAAATCAAAGCATTGTCAGTCCACTGCTTTAGCGGAGAGAGTAAAAAAAGACAACAGCCCACGAGCGGAGAGGAGCAGGCACGAGGTTAAAAGACTAGGGTTCAGGGTTTAGGTGAGAACATACAGTCGCAAAAGCCTAACTTAGGCAGGGGAGTCAAGTTGCTACACTCAAATCGGATCGGATCGGAATTGCAGGTTGGGATTTTGAGCAGGGGGCACTGGACCCGCTTTCCATAATAACGAGTAAGGTGGGACAAGGGCTGGATCTCATCATCATACACTACACTGGCTAATGCTGCAGTCGAATTGTGAGGTCCCCGACCTCGTTTTTCAATTTGTCAATGAAATGTTGCTTTGTGTTTAAAAAAGAAAAAAAGAAAAAAAAAGAAGCATAGTCAGTCCTGCCTCGGGTGGCCGTACCATCCATGCCTGCTTCACTAATACATATGCAACTCAAATCTGATTTGTGTTAAAAAGAAGCATAGTCATTCCTGCCTCGTATGGCCATGACACCATGGTCACTTGCAAGGTGTTCTCAAAGATTGTCCTCAAATCTGACTACCGCCAAATTGAGGTCAACCCTGCAGAGCACCATAATACTGTGTTTAAGACAAGGAAGGGGGGGCTGTCTCTTATACACATCTAGATGTGTATAAGAGAACTGACCATCGAACGACGACGAGATTTGATACGAAAACGAGACACGCGGAGCGTGCCAAAGCCTTTCCGTTCTAAACGATGGGTTGTGGCTCGGTGGGAAGCCCGACAATACTTTTTGGATTGAATTTGGATTTTTCTCCTTTCCCGTCGTGCCCGCGCGCCATTCCGCGACGTGCAATCGACTTGCTTCGGGGGATTTCAGTTCCATCTGTGTCCCCACACTCAATTTCCAAAAATCCTTGGATCACCCCATCTTGCTGTTTTTCTGGGCCTCTTTCCGCACGCCTAACACTCCGAACGAAAGACAGCACAGGGCGTGAGGTTGCGCGTCGGATGGATTACCTGAAGGTAGTCAGTTTTCACTATAATATCCCAAGCCTTAGGTTGCCGCTCTTTTAAACCACAAGTACATCTGGGATTCGCGCCCTTCTACTGCTCACCTAGCTTTGGTGAACCACCACCGACGCACTTTCACGAGCCGACGACGACGGTCATGCGGCAACTAAGGATGTTTTTTGAAGCAGTTTTGGGATGTGTTTAGAAAGAAAGGTACAAGGGGTGTCTTTGTCTGTTTTGGCTGGCACGGGCAGCCATTGTGGTCCTGTAGCCCCGAGCCTCAGAAAATTTTGTGAGTGATGAAAGCTTTCTCGACGGCCATGTCATGTGGCACCTAAGGATGGCTTTTGAAGCAGTTTGGGGAATCCGATGTGTTTGATGAAATGGAAAGAAAGGTACAAGTGGCATCTTTTTTTCTGTTTTGGCTGGCACTGCCAGCCATAATTGTGCTCCCGTAGCCCCAGGCCTCCGAAAATTCCGTAGGCGATGAAAGATTTCTCAACGCGCCTGGGGCCGTGTACTGGGGCTACCTGACTGGGCTTGCCTGCCTACCTGACCTCTGACATTGTCTTCTTTGTGAATAAATGAATCTGGCTTTGTGCAGGCAGGCCTGTACATCCCAGCGAATATACCCGCACACCTTGGGGGATGCACCTCTGCATGTCAACTTGGTTGGACTATGTTTGGCCTGAGGACTCCCAAGATATAGANAGAGAGAGAGAGAGAGAGAGAGAGAGAGAGAGAGAGAGAGAGAGAGAGAGAGAGAGAGAGAGAGAGAGGGGCCACAGTTTCATTCTCCTGCCGCACAACTTGGTGAGCTTCTATTTATTTATCTGAAAGGAAAGCTGAGCCGGCAGATTACTGTGATGCACGAGCTCTTGCCGAGGTTTCATTTTTATTCACTTCCGAAACAAAATGACGCCACACACACACACACACACACACACACACACCTGTCTCTTATACACATCTAGATGTGTATAAGAGACAGAAACAAGTTAGTTGTATAAGTCTGTTGTTGTCCGCCTCAACGACATACGGATTTGCAGTAACTCGCTGGCGGAACACAAACAACACAAGGAAGTCTTCACCATCTGAGGGAAGAGAAACTCCATCTGAATGAACTTCGAGGCATCTGGGTTTACGAAGGAGAGTGTCATCTACCTTGGGCACCAGATTTCAGTTGCAGGCCTTGAGCCGAAGGGAGCGAAGGAAGGGGACACTACTGCTTGGCCTCAACCTACAAATCCGCGCCAACTGCGTTCTTTTCTTGGAATGGCCTCTTACTACAGCAAATTTGAGCAGAGTTTTTCTCTGATTGCACAGCCTTCTTTTTTCAGTTGAATGACCGGCAAACACGCAACCTTCTTGTGAGGCGGATGCATGCGAGACCTCATTTCAGAAGTTGACAATGCTTTTGTCTATTTTTAGTATTTTTACAACCTCTCTTGCGCATTCCTGATCTGGCTTTGCGGTCTGTAGTCAGCACGATGCAAGTCAAATGGCATTTTTGCCTACTGCAACAAGACGATGCAACTGGGTTGTGATCTGTCATGAGGTAACGCATGCCCTCCGATCTACTGGTTGCTTCTATGTATGAGGGCGAACTGTTGTCACTCCTGGAAGCATTGCTTTAAACCACCAGCACCTTTCACATACGTCGGCCGCGGGCGAGGCCCCACGATTTCCGGAGGCCGGTAACGCGAAAACGGCCGCCGATCAGATTTATCAACAGCGGCCGCGCATTGGGCTCGGCCTCACAAATTTTAGGATGATGTCATTTTCCCAATGTGACACCAGCCTAAAGGTGGTGGTGGTTTATTAGAGGCCCTTCCTTCGTCGTCCCTGCTTCAAAGTCTACTTAGATCACCAGACTCTGCAGTGGATTAAGACTCAGCCTCGACTATAAAGTTATAAACTAGCTTGTCCAAGTAGTTGACAGACGTTTATGTCTTCGACTTCCAAACAACACAGAAGAAGAGTTTGCGCCACCGATGCTCTTTCCCTTCGCTGGGAGATGACGACTGCTATGGTTGCATCCTTTGGTCCCCTCAACAATCTCCGAGTCCACGGCAGAGGAGAATGCTAAAGATGCTACAATCGGTCCTATTCTGGGACAGTTGCAGGCTGGACCCCATCCCCCTGATGGTTCCAGTTATTCCATCTCCATCGACTTCATGGACATGTGTAAAAAAGGAGTGAGAAAGGCTTTTCCCAGGTCAGGGTTCTCGTTGATCACGAGTTCTACACGTAACTCACAGTAATTCCTCTCCCGCCACACACACCTACAGATCTGGTCATTAAGAAAATTGACAAATTCTATATCCGTAAGTGAGGCACCTCGCAAACTATTGTTAGCGATGGGGATACACGCTTCGTCAGTGTGTTTCGTCAGTTCACACACTGACAAAGGACCTGTACAAAGCACAACTAACTATGACATCCAATCGCCACTCAGAGACTAATGATCAAGCAGAAGAAATTAACCCGAGTGTTACTTAGTTATTACGAGCCTTGATACTATCAACATGGGAACACACGGAATGAGGCGTTGACCACCGTTGAGGTACGATTCTGAACAAGCCGCAGAACGGATGGAGCGTCCGCAGTCCTGTTGAGTTTCTCTTCCCTGGCACGCCCGAACTGATCCCCATGATGCCTTCTCTTCCCTGGTCGGCACGCCCGAACTGATCCCCAGGATGCCTAGCCCGAACTGATCCCCAGGATGCCTAGCCCGAACTGATCCCCAGGATGCCTGGCTATGTGGCTAAGTACCAGAAGTTGCAGAACGGACGGGGCACCCGCACTCCGGTCGAGTTCCGATTCCCTGGTCGCCACGCCTGAACTAATCCCCGGGATGCCTGGCTATGTGGTGAAGCATCGGAAGCAGCTTGATTGTGTGGTTGCAGCCCATGCACAAACAGCAGGATGCGATGGTCAAGCACACGAACAAAACATTGCAGGTCATCTACGTTCAAAGAGCGTGATTATGTGCGGGTAAAGATATCTGGAATTTTGTGATGAAGAGGGTGCTTTCGGGCAAGCTCTTGCCACTCCACTATAGTTCTTGAAAAATTCTCAAGGTATTGTGCAACACAGTGTTTGGCCCGTCGTATGTGGCCAATGGGCCCCCACATCTCTGCACTTTCATGCGTCTAAGGTATATCGCTGCACTACTTCCTACGACTTTACTAGCAGATTACGACTCCACGGTCTATCAACGGAGGGTACAACGTGGATCCTCTGTGTCAGCATCCAAAGAATGGGCGCCAGCATGAATACCTTGGGCACTTTCTGTATCATCCACCTGATGATCTGCACTCAATTTCTCGTTCAGACCCGCAGAAAACTGCACCTCACGTTTTCAATGCTTATTACAAACAAGGGCTTGCTGATCAGGAGCCTCTGAAGAACTCTTTCTTTGTGAGAGAGAACGCCCAATTACATTTTTTGCAATCTGCGCCTATGCAGTTTTCCACAGAAGAGGACCTCGGATTTGTGCCAGTAGGGGAGTATCCACACAAAAAAACGGTTATCTGATCGGGCGCCCATGAAACTGATAAAGCTCAAAGGGACCTCGGATTTACGCCAGTACGGGAGTGATCCACACAAATGGTTGTCTGATTTTTCTGCAGTTTTGGAAAAACGTTGTCTTTTTAATCAGATATCTCTGAATTCTGACTCTGAATCTGTTCGTCAGTGATTTGCTGTGTTTTCCAAGTATGTATGTATGGGATGAACCAAAGACATGTGTGTATTGTGTGCCTGCGCGTG